TCAATCATTGCTTCAAGGCAGGGATTGGCGGAAGCGTGTTACGTTTGGATCGTTTGAAACATGGCGGCTGGAGATCTGATAAGATCGTTGAATTCACTGGCAGATGAAGTGGAGCGTGAACAGAGAAATATATGAAGCGTACTCAATGCTAAAATCAAACGTTCGAACGACCGATCGAATGTCTAACCGAACGTCTTGAGCTTTGAGCGTCTTACACTGCGGGTGACCCACGTGACGCCAGCGTCTTGAAATTAGCTGGTTTTTAAACATTTAAGGAGCCAAGCTGCTGTGTAAAGACTATAAATGGACATTACAAGCATTACAATAATGATATTTTATACCTAAAATAATACTCAACCATTTCCTGAAAAAAAAAAAAAGAATAGGTTTAAAATACAGACATGTGGTTCTTAATTTCTTTTTATTAGCCTAATTCACCATTTGTAAACTGATGTTTACTGTTCATTTTTTAGAAATATCAATAGCATTTTTATTAAAACTATATTCACTGAATGCAATCAAAAAATCGAGAATTGAATCGAATCGAGAGTTTGCGAATCAAAATCGAATCGGGACATCTGAATCGATACCCAGCCCTAGACCATATGCACTACCAGTCAAAAGTTTAGAACAATTAAGATTTTTCAAAAAAGTCTCTAACGTTCACCAAGGCTGCATTTCTTTGATAAATACAGTAAAACAGCAACACTGTAAAATATAATTTCAAAGAACAGTTTCCCATTTTAATGTTTTAAAATGTCATTTATTCCTGTAATGGCAAAGCTGTAATGACTGCAAAAAACTCAACTTTGAAGTTTGAAGCTTTGCCATCACACAAATTAATTACATTTTAAAACATTCAAACAGAAAACGGTTATTTTAAATTGTAATAATAGTTCACAATATTACATTTTTTTCTGTATTTTTGACAAATAAAATGCAGCTTTGTTGAAAAAGACACTTTACAAAAAATTTACAAATGCAAAAAAATAAAAAAATACTTATTCCAAACATTTGACCAGCAGCATCCATCTCAAAAATTGCTAAACAAATAAAATGTTTCTCTCAGAGGTCAGAAATGTGTAAGCAGTGACCTTGCTGGTCTTGTTGCAGACTAAGAGCTATAGCCAGCTCCACCATGGTCTCATCATCAGCGTCTGGAGGGATGTCCAGCATGGGTGGGAAGCCCTCCGCCCCTGCCAGCAGAGCTTCTAGTGGAGAAGGGTTTCCATTGTTCACATTCTCTGCTGTCTCCAGGACCATAGATTCAGACTGCAGATCAAACAAAGAGAGGAGAGGATTACATAACAACCGCCTTCTTTACATACAGCACTTTGGACAAAGACTTATTTTAAAGCAACAACCGCCATCTCAAATATTTAATTAAAGTGTTCATTGCAGATGTTTCACCAGAGACTGATTTTTTAGGAGCTGGCTCTTAAAAAGCATGAATTGGACTATTTAGTGTTCTCAGTTTACTTGAAGCTGGTCACCTCATATTTGTGCATCATTATTCATAACCGAGTGAATCCATTTGGGCAAACTTAGTTGATTGTTGATGTTTTCTTCCTGATTAATTGTGCACATTCTGGAATATTTGGAAAATATGCTTAGGAATAAACTTTAATGCATCTTGACTTGTGATGATTATTTGTTCATTACGTAGTATATTAATATATAATTATATGACCTTGCATGATTTAAAGATGATCATTATTACTGCTCAATAACTTCTTACATTTTTTTTTATTATTGGTTCAGTAAATGTTGGTTTGCTGACATGCATACATATCACAGTCTAATCATTGTCAGATATACATATTAACACTTCTAAGTGTCCAACAGCTGGACTCAGAGTGGTTGCGAAACTCACCACCATCTCAAAGTCTCCGTGGTCCACCTCGCTTTGCTCTTGACTCTCCTGCCTGCCGCCTTCCCCTCCCGTCAGGTTTGAGGACTGCATCTTCTCGTCAGCATCATCATCATCGTCGTCATCTTTATCTCCTAAGATATGAAAGCACAGCAATGCATTTTTTTTGGGTTGATTCATTGTAAGGTGTTTGTATGATTCACAAGTCACAAAGCTGAAAGGCACGGCTCTTACCCATGGGTGTGTTGGAGCGAGGGGGAGAAGGCAAGGTCACATGTCTGCGTTTGTTTCTGGGTCTCAAAACTCTAATCAGAGCCTGTTTGCATGCAAAGCTCACAGAGGTGTCCTGCAGACAAGAAAGATGTGAGAACTGCAATATACATTTTTTTCAAAAGGTAAAGATCATGGAGAAGAACCACAATAGAATACGTACAGGGCAGAGCAGCATCTGCATGTAGATTTTAGATGCCACATTGATGTAATCCAGCTCACAGGTGCAGTAACCGTGAATGATATCAACCAGTGCATTGACTGTGGCTTCAATGTGAGTTAGACCTAAAAGAAAAATGTAAAAACGTGTCAGTTTCCTGAAACAATAAATTGATGAACTCCTAGTGTGACTCAAATCAATAAATACCACTGTGTGACTATGTACCTGGCAAACAGGCGGGAGCCAAAAATGCGTTCTTGGGTTTGAGAGAATGAAGCTTCCAGAAGTTAGTGACCAGCTGCATGATGAAGCTACAACTCTCAGTATCAGCTTGTTTCAGTCCATCCTTCCCATCATCACCTATATCTGAAGAAAGAAAAAAAAAATACTTTATGAAAAGGTGCATAAAAGGACAACAAGATGAATGTCAAAAAAGTTCAATGGGTGTACCAGTGTCTGACTGAGGAAGTCTGGACTCGGTGAAGTGCACGAGGTTGTTGGGTCTCATGATGGCGATGGAGCGGGCTGTAATCACCAGCCTCTGGAACACATCAGGGTCTAGCTCCTTCCCTTCTTTACTACAGCTGTTCAGACACTGTACTGCATTGCTCAGCAGAGACTGATCCTAAACACAGATTAAGCACCGATTAGAAAGCTGAGCTTAAAGATATGGTGATTCATGTCTAAAACAGGATAAAGTTCTGATCAGCAGGGATCATGTTTGTACCTTGTGGTTGTGGTAGGCTGTGCGGCTGGTGTGCAGGCTAGCCAGAAGGCCTTTGGTCTGCTGTTGTACTCCAGCAGGAGTGGGGATGGACAGGAGGAGAGTGGCCAACTCTAGAGCAGTAGCTTTATTTTTCTCCTGTAGATCATAGGGATGGAAAGTCACAAGTAAATGAAAATTTCATTCAAAACAAACTGAAACAATCTGAACCCCCCCACCCCCCAGCAAAAAGCAGTGCTGTAATTTTGAATTAAAACTATTACAAATAGTTTTTGTTAACTGAAAATATAAAATAAATGATAAAAAATTATTAAAAACTGAACTAAAAAAAAAATACTAAATTGTAATAAGAACTAGAAGTATTTAAATTACTAAAAAAAAATTACTAAAAATTAGAAAGATAAATAGAAATATTAAAAAAAAACTAAATGTAAAACCAATAAAATAGAATTTAAAATAATATAAATTATTTCTTATTCAATTAATAATTGAAAGAAGCTAATTCGAAATATTAATAAATACCAAACTATATTTAATATTTAATACTAAAATAACAGTGGCTTTAAGTAGTGTAATCACAAAACCAAAATTTCAATGATTTTTGAAACCAAATTTGATTTCACAGCAAAAATTGAACAGGCACTGAAATATTTACAATGCATCTACATGAATACTAAAGGTATAATTTTAGTTTATGTTGTGCAGGCCAATATAATTGTCATCTTTGGAATTATACTGACACCTAGTTGTGTGGATGTAGATTGCTAGAAATGTGCTATTCAGAGTCAACCATGACTAATTTGTCCAATAACAAGGTTATGAAGATAAAGCAAGTAGTATATCAGCTAGTCATCTGATCTCAGCATGGAAAAACAGCTTTTATTAAGTAAATGATATGAATTCTTCATCTTATGTGAGCGTACATAATTTTAAACATGCATTCTTAATTTCGGATCACCTGTTACTGGTACTTTTGATATGCCTAATCACAAAAGGAACAAGATTTCCTTACCTTTTCATTGGGGGAACCCACAGCAAAGCAGTTCTCTAGAGCTTCCAGTGAGCTGACCACCAACCTAGAGATCAGACAACAGTTAGATAGGGAAAGCAATGTGTAATATAAAAATTATAGCAGTCCATACAAACCATACAAAGTCCACACATTTAAATTCTACATCATTCTCAAAGCATTGCCATTTTCAAACCATAACACATAATCAAACGCTAAAAGCATTAAAGTAAAACACCTATGTGATTACTAATGTCTTTATAAATGCTGTATTTGTCCTGCATGATCTACACCAGAGCAAGCTCAGTCTGACTGCTGTCTCACTCACACACACACACACACACACACACACACACACGAGCAAACCACCATGCACACAAGCAGAGAAAGGGCGGTTACTAACCGGTCCAAGGCTGATAAGGACTCAGTTTCACAACTTTTTTTTTTTATTGTTTTAGGGAGCAAAGAAAAAGAAAAATGTGTGAGGATCACAGAAAAGAAATGCGTAAAATGATTTGTATGTCAAACACAGGAAACGTAAGCATGCGAGCACAAGGTCATTATGATGGCAGCCATGCACTGGACATGTCGCACACACCCCCACCACTCCCTTTTCTCTCCTCTGCTCTTCGTTTCAGTTACGTTAATTGACATCAATTACGGGCACTCTTGAGACAATAATACAGATTAAATGCAGTGAATTAAGTGAAATGAAGACAAAGATAGAAGACATGTTTTTTTTTTCCTTTACAGGAAATCATATTAAATAAAAGGTTGAAATCAGAGCACACTGGCTTAGGAGACAAGTGTACCTCTCCAGTACAGTGCCGCTTGTTGTGATGGGGCTGGTGATGTCACTGTCTCCGGTGCCATTGCTCTGGTTTAGGTTGGGGCTACACACGTTGTTGACTGCAGCTGAAGGGAAGTCCTCAGGCGGCTCATCTGGCCAGCCGAACTGCTCTTTGGTTTTGCCATAAATCTTAATGGAGTCCAGCATGGTGACACCTGCTGGGTCAACTGAAGCACCAACTGAAACAAAAAAACATCAGCATTAATAATTAGTCACTCTTAATATTAAGAGCTTAAATGTTAGGAATTAAATTAAAAATAAATTATAATTTAATTAAAAATTGCAATCGCTCATTTATATAAATTCCATATAGAAATATATCAAAATGTATCAATTATTAAAAAACATTATGGCACACACACACTCATATACATATATGAAAGATCACAATCTCTTTAAGTAAATGACATTAAATAAAACAAATCTGCAATATCTACATCAATTTTATTTCACAATATTCTGAATTTTAAAAAAATCATGCCATTTTATTTTTATTTAATTTAAATGTAATTCATTATTATCTTTTTGTTTTGTCTGTTGGGCTCTTACTGAAAATTGAGAGCTTCTTGTCTGCCTGAAGGGCTTCCTCACGAGTGAAAGGGAAGTCAAACCAGCGGGAGCGGGTCAGGTTCAACTGCATGGTACGTCCAAAGATTTCAATGTAAGAGGGAGCTCGCTCAATGGCCTGAGTGCCCACCTGCACCCTCATTCCCGTCATCACCATTGAGTTGTTATTGTTCACTACTTCCACTGTGAAACCTCCAGGCTGTTGACAGGAACCAACATAAATGACTCAAAAAAAAAAAAAAGTATGAAAAAGTAGCTAAAATGTCTTAGCAACACATTGATGGTAACTTCTAAATAATATTCTAGCTGGAATCATGTTTGTTACCTTGGTGTTGGCCACATACATCCCTGTAGAGTTCAGGCGGTGTTTGATCTGTTGGCCGTTGTAGACCTGCAGCAGGTCATTGCCTCCAAACTCCACCTCTGTTAGCTGCTGATTGTGCTCGAAAAAGTCCACAGGGAAAGTAACTTGGCTGGATGTGCGTGTGGCTGATGAGGAAAAACAAAATGGAACATAAATATCTCTAAACAACACTAAACAACGTGATTAATCAGAGCAAATGTGGTGTGACTCACTGGCCGTGGCTGCCTTGCGTTTGCGGACTGGTTTCATGATGCTGATCACACTGCTAGGCTGAAGGGAGGGCTGGAGCCAATAGGACGTGTTCTCCACGTTGGCCATGTATATACGGAGGCTGCCATCTTCACACAGCAGAATCATGGTGGTGCGCTGCTGCTCGTTGCTTGCTGTGTGACGGATCGCAACCATGTCCTGAATCTGAGGGGAAGAGAGACTTTTTCTTATTTGTGTTTGCACCATATTAGGTTTTATCTTTACTATTTATATTAGGCCTCTGGTACCCTGGTATTGGTACTAAATTTGGTTGGCTGGTTGGCATTTTAACGCCATGCCAGCTTCTTTGGCTTAGGGCTGGACAATAATTCAATATCAATATGTATCGTGATGTAATTTTTTTCAATAACGGTGATATGATTTTTAAACACATTTCCGATATTTCGATATACATTACCAGTGTTTCCCATACATTGATTTATTTTTTCTGCAGCAACTCAGAACACGTTTCATACTCTTTATACTGGCTAAAGCACATTTGCTTTAATCTATAAGAATAATCAGCCTACACTACCAGTCAAAAGTTTTTGAACAGTAAGATTTATTTATTTATTTTTTTTTTAAGAATTCTCTTCTGCTCAAAAAGTCTGCATTTATTTTATCCAAAGTACAGCAAAAACAGTAAACATTTTGAAATATTTTTACTATTTTAAATAACTGCTTTCTATTTGAATATATTTTAAAATATAATAATTTATTCCTGTGATCAAAGCTGAATTTTCAACATCACTACTCCAGTCTTCAGTGTCACATGATCCAGAAATCATTATAATATGCAGATTTGCTGATTATCAATATTTAAAACAGTTGAGTAAATTTTAAAATAAAAAGCTTTTGTAATATTATACACTATTCCATTCAAAAGCTTGGAGTCAGTATGATTTTTTTTTTTTTTAAAGAAATTATAGAAATTAATACATTTATTTAGCAAGGCTTTAAATTGATCAAAAGTGATGATAAAGACATTTATAATGTTACTTAAGATTTCTATTTCAGATAAATGCTGTTCTTTTGAACTTTCTATTCAACAAAGAAACCTGAAAAAATTCTACTCAGCTGTTTTCAACATAATAAATGATTTTTGAGCAGCAAATGAAAATATTAGAATGATTTCTGAAAGATCATGTGACCGGAGTAATGGTGCTAAAAATATAGCTTTGAAATCACAGGAATAAATTGCATATTTTCAAATAGAAAACAGTTATTTTAAATAGTAAACATTTCAAAATGTTACTGTTTTTGCTGTATTTTGGATCAAATAAATGCAGGCTTGGTGAGCAGAAGAGAATTCTTTAAAAACATTAAAAATCTTACTGTTCAAAAACTTTTGACTGGTAGTGCATGTTAGCCTATAGTTTGAAGTTAAAGATATTAATATTAATTAGGTGAGTCTGAGACTATTATTTGACAGTGATTTCACATTTCTTGTTTGCATGAAAGCCAAATACATATAAAAGATGAACATTAATTTATTTGTGCTGTTTTTTTCCCCTAAAATATTATATGGTTTTATATGAGGTGTCAAAGACTTGGCAAATTCATTTTTCATAAGTTTGTATGCACAGACATCTGTTGTGGGTGTTCTTGGCAGTTTTTACGAGGCTTTTTTTAATAGTGTTCATATCGATATCGGAATTATATTGTATCAACCGAAATTAAGAAATATATCGTGATATAAATTTGGGCCATATCGTCCAGCCCTATTTTGGCTATTTTCATGGTGAGTAACAAGTTGAAATACCACAAAAGAGCAATTTTTAAAACTTATATACGACGCTAAAATGGATTCAGGGTTTACGTAGAAATTTCTTTGAAAGTGCTCGCTGAGCAATATAATTTCCTAAGAGAATTTTAACCATGTTTAATAGATACAGGATTCTGGTAAGGGGAGCACAGCAGTGGATATTCATTTTTTATTAAGAACTTGTGTGTGATTCTGGAATGTTCTATTCGGTATGTCCAATGACTACTGAAACTAAGAATGATAATAGATTCAATAGCTCAGTGTCAATATGCTTGTAATCTCAATTTATGGCATTCAATAATCATCGAAATGCATCAAAATGCATCAGTAATGCAAACACTAAACTCAATGCAAATCTTTTTTAATTATTACTAAATATTACTTATTATTAAATAAAAAAAATTATTTATGATTTTATAATATTTCCAGAGCTGTGAATAAATTTAAAGTCAAAATCACAGTTTTCTGTGATTAATCACATCTAACATTATTAATTGCAATGAAGTAGTGTGAGCATATGTTAGCCACAGAAAGTGAGTAAAAACATTAGCGCAGCCTCAGGAGTCAAAAACAACAGATGTTGCATTAAACGATTCACACTTATCACAGAAATCAATAGGGCTGGGTAAAAAATATAAATTTGGGCCATATCGTCCAGCCCTATTTTGGCTATTTTCATGGTGAGTAACAAGTTGAAATACCACAAAAGAGCAATTTTTAAAACTTATATACGACGCTAAAATGGATTCAGGGTTTACGTAGAAATTTCTTTGAAAGTATAAATCTAAAATATAATTTCCTAAGAGAATTTTAACCATGTTTAATAGATACAGGATTCTGGTAAGAGGAGCACAGCAGTGGATATTCATTTTTTATTAAGAACTTGTGTGTGATTCTGGAATGTTCTATTCGGTATGTCCAATGACTACTGAAACTAAGAATGATAATAGATTCAATAGCTCAGTGTCAATATGCTTGTAATCTCAATTTATGGCATTCAATAATCATCGAAATGCATCAAAATGCATCAGTAATGCAAACACTAAACTCAATGCAAATCTTTTTTAATTATTACTAAATATTAATTATTATTAAATATATATATTTTTTAATGATTTTATAATATTTCCAGGGCTGTGAATAAATTTAAAGTCAAAATCACAGTTTTCTGTGATTAATCACATCTAACATTATTAATTGCAATGAATTAGTGTGAGCATATGTTAGCCACAGAAAGTGAGTAAAAACATTAGCGCAGCCTCAGGAGTCAAAAACAACAGATGTTGCATTAAACGATTCACACTTATCACAGAAATCAATAGGGCTGGGTAAAAAATATCGATATCTCGATATTATTCGATTCTCTTTAAATCCCAAGAATCGATTAGTGTAGCCTGTTTTCAGTTAATGGACGGAACATTAACACAAATTAAACATGACTAAACATTCCGAAGGCAAGTTGAAAGAAAGAGTACAACTTTACAATCTGTATCCTGTCTCATGTAATCGCTCAGTCAGTGTTTCAGCCGTGCAAATACTTCAATATAAAGTCTTGTAAACAATGTCACGTAACGTCACATTTACCTCAGAAACAAACATATTCGGATAGCTTACAAATCAGTCAATTTTAACCTTCAATATTATAGTAATCTAGTACCAAATTACTCTCATGTATATTTTACAGCATTAGTTGAGAGATTTTTTTTTTTCCTTGAGAAAATTTGGCAAGTACTGTACCTGATATATATCCAAAATAATCGATATTGAATCGAATCGAAAACTTATGAATGAGAATCGAATCGAATCGTGAAATTTGTGTCAAAACCCAGCCCTAGAAATCAATGTGTTTTTTTACAATAAAATATCTAAACTTTTATAATATATTTTATACTTCCTTAGGACCACTAGGAATTTCTAAAAACTGACCTTAGCTTTTGCAGGCAGGGTTTTGATCTCCTGGATGAGGAACGTGTCTGGTTTTACCATGATGACCAGAGGGATGCCTGTGGTCTGCTGGACACAGCACACCAAACCTGGGTGGTTCATCACTTCTGACCACTGACAGAGTGCTGGAGATGTCTTACTACTTCCATTAGATCTGCATGTGCAAGAGAACAAACATTAAAGAAAAACAAAACACATGAGAGAAAGAGTGTTACAATCTAATTTTTAGATTAAACGTTTCTGTACAAATTTAGAAGAGGAAGAAGAATTCTACCCTTTGACATTGATGGTAAAGAGTCTCCGTGTTTCCATGTTGCTGCAGCTCACTGTGGCAGCAAATGACTTGCCCTGACTGTAGCTGAAGAAGAGCATCTGCAGGACGTGGGAGTAATACACAGAGACTCCGCCTCCAGCCACCTGGCCATTACTGTCCTGCGAAGCAAACACAGAACAAACTCAGCATGCGGTCACACTCAATCCATTCTGAATCTACTTGGTTAACTTATTGCAGTCTATCTGACTATATAGGAAGACAGAACATTGTAAAACCTTCAGGTCCTCGTGGTTGATCTCCAGAACGTTGGTGACATAGAAAGGGCCATGCTGGGCACTGCTGGACTCGTCCATCACCTGAGTGTACATGTATCCAGCTGAGGACATGATCACAATGATGTTTTTGCCCTCCTCATTGAACAGGAATGTGGCATCTCTGATCTTTGAACTTGGTAGCAGGAAGTAGTACATGGGGCTCAGGGCATCTACAGATAAGTCATAAATCTGCAAAAAATAGTGATTTAAGAGACATTACTTATGCTAGAACTAATGACACATGACTATATAGGGTATACTATATGACTATATAGGGCAGGGGTTTTCAACTTTTTAGGACATGCGCCCCCCCAAGTTTGTCTAATGCACTGGCCTGATCGTTAAGATAGTTTGGGGGGGGCTAAGGTGACAGATAGTGGGGCTGAAACCCACCTAAAAAGGATTTAGAACCTCCCCTGGCATAGCGTGCGTAATTATACTGAAACATAAATATATAACCAGTTTACCAAACCTCAAACGCTTGTCTTGTGTAGCTCTGCAATGCGCATGCGTAGTCTGTGCAGTCCCATCTCATTTTCTCTTCCAACTTCAAAATTGCCCTACATCGCTGCAGAAGTAGCAGCGTTTACAAAAGTGTTTACAAAATGAACGTGCAAAGAAGGTCAAATGCCCTTTACAAATAAACGGTAAAACAGCGATGTAGGACGATTTAGAACGATTTTGAAGTTGGAGGAGAAAATGAGATGGGAGTTTTTCGATATACCCTAACTGTCATGAACCGGAATGCACAGAGTTCACACAGAATTAGACAAGATGAGAGTTTGAGGTTAAAAAGTATATAAATTGTAATTTTTTTTTAGAAAATGACAGATCGTTTCGCTAGATAAGACCCTTCTTCCTCGTCTGGGATCTTGTGGAACGCTTTGAAGCTGCATTGAAGCTGCAATTTGGACCTTCCACCCAGTGAACCCCACTGAAGTCCACTATATAGAGAAAAACCCTGCAATGTTTTCCTCAAAAACCTTAATTTCTTTTCGACTGAAGAAAGAAAGACATGAACATCTTGGATGACATGGGGGTGAGTAAATGAGGAAATTTTAATTCAGAAGTGAACTAATCCTTTAAGATATATTAAAACCGAAAATGTAATTTAAGTTGTATTAACATTTTAATGTACTGTATTTTTTTATTAAATAAATGCAGCTTTGGTGAACATTAGGGACTTTTCAAACAACAAAAATATTACTGAGCCCAAACATATATTTTTTATACATTTAATTTATTTTACAATTTTTTTAAATTTGTGTATCAATTTTTTTATTTGACAATATTAATCACCTTGACAAAATCAGCAGTGATGATAGCCAATTCAGTCTGTGATCCAGGAAGCCATATGGCCTTGATGATGAAGTTTCCAGTGGCAAGTTGAGGATGCAGGACTAAGTGATCTGAGACAGAGCCTGTGCTGCTGAAAGTCAGAACGTGGCAGTCCTGTAGATGAGACACAGAAACAAGACTAAAGTCAGCGGAAACAAACCTGTGAAATAAATCCTTCATAGTTTCCTTCACTGTGTTTGTTACCTTGAGTCCACACACTGCCAGATAGTCCTCATTACAGGGGTTTCCTGTGAGGCTGAGCACTGTGAAGGGGACTGGAGCGGAGGCCAGGCGAGTCAGAGTCAGTTTCCTCTTACTGGAGTCAGCCTGCTTCAACAGCGCAGACAACTGCAGGACCGTGATCTGCAAAAAACAGCCAATCACCATGTAGTCACAATTAAACATGAAGTTGCAATGATACAAACACATGTTCGGGTTTTCTGGATTACCTTGCCCTTCTCATGGCTGACAGCGAGGTGTTGTCTGCGTCCGTGAGGGGACGACAGCACACACATGGCCACCCGACGCAGCACATGGGCGCTGATGAGCTGGCGGATGGTCTGTCCTTGATCTCCACTGTAGTTCATCCTGACGTTCTCAAAAGCGCCCTCTTGTGAGCCCAGTGTGGGAACCTGGAGGATAAAAACATGCTTAGTGTTAGCAATTGTGATTCAAGAAATCCACGTGTGTGTTAGAATTATTCTTAAGGTGTTTGGTTCATACCATGAGCTGGTCTGTCATCTCAACAGTCTTGTCTTGAGTGTGTAATTCGTTGAGAGCGTGTTGAGCCCGGCTGCTGCTACCCACCGCCGATGCCTGCTGGAAATTGGTCTGAATGGCATCCATTAGGAAAATGAGCAACTCCAGCACCAGGGCTGCAGTGGAGGAGCTCGCCTGTGAAAAAGAATGATTACAGTGAGTCAGATTCACTTTTGATATCAAAACAGTTTCAGAGAATAAAGAGCGAAGAAATTCTCATACCACTTGGATGAGTAGATCCTCTCTGCAGCCCTCAATGTTTTTACACACGCTGCTCTTCTTAGGTTTGTCGTCGTCGCTGCTTTTGCCGTCACAGATGGTGACTTTTCCCTTGTCCGCGGGTGAGGAGCTCTGGTGACGGATGGCGCTCTCTGGCATGCGCAGCTCGCTCTGGAACGCCAAGGACTCCTTCATGGTGGAGCTCATCCCACTGCTGGGACTTCTTTTCACTAGAGCCTGTAAAACAAGGATACAGACCCAAGATCAGGGATATGGGATACATTTCATTACTCAGACTAAATTACAAAGGATGTATATGCCAGGAGGGGGCACCACAGGGAAGAGGGAATCAAATTTGACTGTTACATGCTTTGTGTTTCCATCAAGGAGACATGCATGGGTGGATATGGCTTAAATGTTGAAATGATCATCTGAAAAAGCTTTTTAGATTAGAAAATTAAGTGAAAATCTTAAGGAAATACAACAACTATATTGAAGATTAAAGGAACAGTTCACCCAAACATTAAAATTGTAACATAATTTACTCACCCTCATGCTGTTCCAAATTTTTTCACAAACAAGGTATTAAATGGGTCATCAAACTAAAAATGAAGTATTTATTTCTGTCTACACTTTGTATTAGTTTTTTTTGTAATTAATTTTATATGAGGGTTTGCAATTTTTGCAGCTATCTGGATTGTGCAATTCCTCAGTTTTCTAGAAATAAACGTTGAATAAAACTGGCAAAATGTAAATTTATAAATTAAATAAATACACTACCATTTCAGAATTTCAGAAAGATTCTGTGGCATTGAAGACTGAAGTAATAGCTGCTGAAAACATATCAAAATATTAAAATATATTAAAATAGAAAATCATTCTTTTAAATTGTAATACTATTTCAAAAATATTCATGTTTTTACTGTATTTTGGATCAAACAGATGCAGCCTTTGAGAGAACAAGAGACATTTAAAAAAAAACAAAAAAATATTATACCGACTCTTATAACTTTTGAACATTAGTGCAAGTAAATAAACAATCACTAAAAGGTTGCAAATTTTGTCTAAGTTGAGCTTACTTAAGCTTATGCTAGTTTGGGTTCAAATGTTTTTTGTAGTTACTGATAAACTATTTCGAAAAATAAAAGGATTTGTAACAGGTTTGAACTATTTACTTTTCGTCCATCCATGCAGTACAAAAGGACTGAAATTTTGTGTTGGGTGTAAAATTTCAAGGAATGCTACATTTGTTATTGTAATAAGCTAAAACCATGCAATAACAGAGTTGCACACAGAAAGTTGGAGACTTAAATATTGCATTCTTGATCAGTAAATGAACTGAATATTAATTCAATAAAATTTGAAATTATGACATTTTTATGACATATATAAATTATTTTTGATTGTTACAGCTTGTGACATAATGCAAGTCTTCATTTAGTAGATTTTTGACTACTTTTTTGTTTTTGTGGAGTTTAACAGCAATAGTTACTACTATGGATACAGGTATGCAACAACTATTCCTGTGGCTTTGAAACAACATGAGTAATTGTTTATTTTTTTGGGTGAACTATTCCTTTAACAATATAATGAAATGAACTGAATTCATCTTAAGTAATAAACTACCAAATAGTAGAGGATAAATTTGCTTAACTATCAAAAAAGGAAAAGATGAAATGTTGCAAACCCTGATGAATTGAGGGAGGTCTGAAATGAGCTAATGTCAGTCAATAATAAATGATTTGCAAGCCAAAGTTACCGCAGTTGCTCTTTTCCCATGATGACCTGAAGTATTCGGTCTCACCTGGCAGCTGCCATCCTCCTTGGCACCGCAGTCACAGAAGAAAGAGCCGTATTTGGCATAGGAGATCTCATGATCTTTGTGACAGACCTTAGCACACACTGTGCACACACCTACCCCATCCACCATCTTACAAGTGTGACAGTGATACCTGTATGGGGAAGAGCAGGAAATTAAAGAGCGACAGCACAGCTTCTGAATGCTTCTGTTGCATAGCAAAGGAATGCTGAGTGGATCCATTACCAGTGCTGGTTCATGAACTCCTTTTGTGTGATGGTGAAGGTGCATAGCTTATTGCAGAGCGAATCCTCATCCTAAAACACAAGAAACTCAGATATGATTGGAAAAATTGAAGCAATATTTAAATCTAAGGCACAGTGAGTAGACTGTCTCCTGACCGAGTCTTCAGCCTGTGAGTCTTCCTCCTCTACAGCCAGCTCCTCCACCCAGTCAGAGTCAACTTCAATAGCCTTTTCCTCTCCCTCCATCAAGAGCTGGGATGAGCCCTGGCCGCTGCTCTGCCTTAAAGCATTCATCACATCTGCCAGGTAGGAAATGATGTGGCAGGCACACTCCAGCATGCTTGCATGCTGCAAACAAGAATGTTTCACTTATGGTGCCACACAAACACAAGATGTGCAAATGGTTATCCTTAAAATGGACTTAACACCTACCTTGCCTTGTGACACATTGGCTGTAACTTTTTCCACGACATTCTTCTGATACAAGTATTTTTTACTGAAAGATAAACAGGAAAAGGTCAGATTTAGATTAAATTGGAGGTAAAAGACCCCATGAAATCAGGATGGAGTTTTGTGGCTTCAGTGTGGTAGTTTTATGTCATATTGAGGTCAAAAGTTTTAGCTGATATGAACGTATATGCATAAATTTATAATCCTTTTATTCTCTTCTAGGAAAAAACAGGAAACACTCCCTTCTAGGAAACATACACTTCAAAAATGTGTCTAATAAAATGCTGACATTTAAATGCAAATATGTTCGTTAAATTTAAATTGTATATTACATTAAAACATTGTTATTATAAAAAGTATAAACTTTCATTATTATTTTTATTATTATTTAAATATAATTTAAAATGTTTTACACACATATATATATATATATATTATTATTAATAATAATATTAATATAACAATATTAAATAATAAATGAACTTTTCCACGACATTCTAATTTATTGAGATGCACCTGTATTATATATTTTTTCATAATATTTCTTCTTACAATATTATATTATTATTATATTTTTTAATATATATTTATATCCAAGTCACTTGCCATCTCGTGAGCCAGTCAATGGCAGCTCTGTGTAGCTGTAGATGTCCTGCTCCTTGTCCCGCACTGGCTAGAGTGGCCATGATGACCATGAGTTCAGGGAAGCCCGCCCCATCCCCGCTGGCCAGCATCTCTGTTGCCATGGGTATGAGAGTGCTCAGAAGCACAGTGCAGACGCCCTCGCCCACCTGGCTGTTATCACGGACAATGTAGGAGGTGAGGAGTTGCAGTAGCTGTCTATTCTCTTGCACTGTGTCCAGCTGGTCCGAATCTTTAGGAGGGGAGGCCGTCATGCGCCTCAGCCAGGCCTGCAGCCTCGTGGGCTCCACGCAAGCCAGCTGGGCTAGCGAGCCGCACAGGCACAGAAGACTGGGATTGGGGCTCTTTTCCGCTGAGGGGTGAACACAGATAGGACATGTGAGAGGGGGAAATCAGATGCCATAATTATGGGAGACAGTGCATGGCTACTTACTGAGCTGGAAAAGTTTAGTGAAGAATTTCAGAACCCGGTTACAGAACTTTGCTGATAGATTCTCATTGGCAGTGGCCATCATGATCTGCACCAATTCTCCGCTACAAGAAAAGAGGGGGGGAAAGGATGTATTAAATTGATGCAGAATGCTTCTAGCAATTTCGAAAGAATTATTAATATTATTTGGCCAAGACCTACCTGAATGAGAAGAACTCCTCCATTGCTTTGCGGACCTGACTGCTTTCCAGCTGTTTCTCCAAGTACTGTAGACACTCTTCAAGAATGGACTCATCCAGACCACTAATTGGAAACAGAACAATATTAATCTAAATTCTTTTAGATTGCAGTTCAGGAGTCTTAATCATATGGTCATCTGGGGTCCAACCTGTTGGGGTCAGAGTGATTGGCGATGATGTTGTAGCAGCCCCTGATGAGGCGCTCGTAGACGAGAGCCAGGAAAGCATCTGATTCGGCAGGACCCAAGATCCTCTCCAGCGAAGTGCTGCAGATCTCTGCCACGCTCTCTGTGCTGCTCTCCAGCAGGAGAGGCAGCAGCGTGCGGATCACCTGTGGACTGTTCAGCTCCTCTGTGCTGCAGCAAAACACAAGTAATCTTTAACATCAGTCAATCTTTTATATGATTTGTCTGTTTCAACTGTCGCTCAAGACTTACACAATGAGGTCCCCAGTAAGGCGCACTAATGAGAGCAGAATGTGTTTGAGCGAGGAGGCTACGGGCAGCGATTGGTTGCTGAGGGTCCCCAGGTGGGCAGCCTGAATGGCGCTGATGTAACTTTCCGATGGAATGGTGTCATTGGCAAAGGCGTTCCGCTGTGGACAAAGAACCGATCAGTGTACGGTGAAGTAGTGAGAGTATATTTACTCGAAGAGTTGAAGGAAAAGCATTCTAACCCATGAGCCAAAGTTAGGGAATTCATTGGTGTGAATGTTGTTCCATGTTTCACACAGTGTCTGAACAGCTGATGGCAGATTCTGCATCACAGTCTGACCTGAAAGAGTAAAAATAGAACAACAATGGATTAGATATTCAAATTTACATAAAAGCCATTGAGTCCATAACAACTTGATTTTATCCAGAATTCTTACCAAGCAAATTGGCTTTGCAGCGCGTGGATCCAATGGACAACACAGCAGCATAACCCTGCAGTTTAGCTTCTGTGGGTTTGTTTTCTCCTTCCTCTGGCAGGCTCATCAGAAGGTATGACCTGAGCAAACATATGACCAGCAGACCATTGACATATTTGGATTTGTAATGTTTATTTGAGATGGTTCACCTAAAAATTTAATTAAAATTAATGTCATTATTTACTCTAATGTTATTTAAAGGCAAAATGCTAGGTGTTTTTTCCAAATGTGATCACCTTTTCCGAAGGTTATCAAATGATGTGCACTATATTAAAAGTGTTTGAAGACACTCAAAAAACGTAAGACATTATGATATTAATCGTACCTTAACTCAAGAATCACAGAGATTAAGAGTTAACAACAGCACCTTAAATTTCAGTCTATTCCTCACACAAATCCATCAAACAGACACCCTCAATACAAACATCAGCACCTGGTGAAGGCTGTGTAGACTTCGATGAGCTGCAGCGTGGCGGGCAGCAGGTTTTTGGTGATCTCTGAGGATTTGTGGGGGTCTGTATCAGCAGCTACTTTGGAGAAATGCTCATCTAAAGACACTTGCACTTTGGAAATCACAGCATCCAATGTGTAGATGGTTTGTAGAGAGGGTACTTGGTGAAGAGGTAGGATGCTGTTGGGGTCCACGCAGCAAAACGATGAGATCTATGGAGGAGAGGATTTATGAGGTCATGTATTAGGAGCGAGCAGAAAAATCTATATCAGCCATTAATGGCTACTCTAAGAGTGCACCTGTCTGGCGATGTATTCCTCTGCGAGCTCCTTTATAGCACCATTAATGTGTTTATTATTTTAATAATTATTATTGGTATATTAAAATAATAATAAATATACACAATACAATTTTTGGTGTACAGAGTCCTAAGTTGTATGCTCTATTTTAATTATATTTAATACATTTTAATGTGGGAAAAACACTGAAGCATTTAGCTTCAGCATTCAACTTTAGCTTCTTAACTTCAGCTTTGAACTTTTATTGTAATTCATTGTTTCTGAAAAATTAGCTTGAGATAAAATAGTGGGTAGATACTCAGTTCATGATAACTGATAAAAAAGGAAAAGTGTATATTTTTCTACTGTACCTTGTCATCAGTATTTCACAATTTTTATAATATTTATGTGGTTTCTTAAATAGTGTGACATTTATAAACCTTTTAAAAGTATTTGTAAAAACATCTGATGTTCTCAAAATCAGATACAAAAACTGTTATAATTAAAATAATTGTATAATAATAATCTAATTAATTATATTACATTGTAATATAAAAAATAATAATATAGTATACAATTACATTTAAATAAATAAATAAGTATTATAAAAAAAATGTAAATTTTTTTGAGTAATTAAAGCAGTCCACTTTAAGACACTGAAAAGTTCATGCCACTTTTCCAAGAAAATGTTTGGTTAAGACTCAAATGTTTTTCTTTAACTAGGTGCACAGACACTCCCATGGCTCTAATAGTTGTGCAGACTTGTGATGTGTAGCCTCACCTTGCCATCAAGTCGACTCCTGTCATCCTCTGAGGCTTCAGGAGACAGAACGCAGTAGAATTTCGGCTGTACTGTGGAATCTAAATGAGAGTGATGACAGATAAAAAAAAACACAATCAAAACCGTTCTTGCACTAGATTAGCAAAGCTTACAACTGTTGTACTGCAGTATGTTTGATATCGACCATCAAGGGCATAATGGAGAGAAATATAAGAGTTCTGACTTACTCCTACCTGCCGAGCAGTGCTTGGCCCAGTTCTCCTCCACCTCTTTGAAACCATAATAAAGTGGGACGGCACCTCTCTTTCCTCCATCCTGTCCTGAACTGGCCCCAGATGACAGGGGTGTCAGAAGATTGTACTGAACCTGAGTGAGCAAATAAAACATTGTTACAAACAAGCTACAAAGCAGTGACATGTTTCCAGTGAAAGTACAGCTACATTCGTACCTGCTCAAACAAGTACATGGGAGCTTTTGAGTACTGGTGCAGCAGGTAGTCGAACACAAGCAAGATGCGGGCCAGGTTGAGGGGTACAGCTTGAAGCTGAGAATCCACATGGGCTGTGATTTCAGTGATGGCCTGCATGCAGAGGGTGAGGATGTTGTGGCGGCCCTTTTCAGAGAAGTTGTGAAAGATGAGCAGAAGCAGCTGAAGGTGTTCAACGTTGAGGTCCTCATCAGCAGGGACTGCTCCCTGTAGTGTGTGCTGTTTTAGAGTGCCCACAAACCTTAAAAAAAAAAAAACATATACAGCTTGAGAATATGTAACATGTTATATAAACTTCATGCTAATACACAAGAAACACATGGGTGAGAATTTGGTGTACAATCCAATTCTACATTTGAAAAAAGAGCTGTAATTCTGTAAGATTTGGTGACATCTTACCTTTCCCAGACCTTCATGCACTCGGGTACATCAGGCTCCCCCTGCTGGCTGGCTTTATGCTGCCAGATCAGCAGTAACCTGGACAGCACCGAGAGGGACTGAGGATGGATGTACATGGGCCAGGGGCCCTCTGAGAATGGGGCTACACCCAACTGCTGCAGAAGAGTGTTCTGAGGAAAAGTGATAGAAAACAAAGTATCAGATACCTGACGCCTATCAAAAATGTGTTACATTAATATTAATATAATACAGGTATTTTTTAAGCATATTTCAAAATTTACCTGTAGGGATGGAGAGGGCAGGTCTGATGTTACCAGAGAGTGATTAAAGTGATAGAGGGCAGAGGCGAACTCTTCATCAGAGGACCCTGGACAAAAAAAAAAAAAGTTACATGTTAGGAAAAGCCTAAATGGAAGCCTAAATGTTCGATTAGAGTGAGGGATTTAAAAAACCTTTGACATCTTTGTCGACATCCTTGATGATGCTGGCGAGGGTGGCCATGTGCTGCTCCGTGAGAGACACGCTCAGGTAGTTGCGAATGAAATTGTTTCTGGACTTCAGCATGGAGGTGGTGATGAAGTTCAGTATGCTTGAGGCCAAACTCAAAAACTGGAACAAAAAATGTGTCTTTAGTTTAACATGAAACCGCTTTTGAAAAACTTCACTCATCATTTAATGTGATGTAAATTAGTAAATAAATTAATAAAATAATATATAAAAATTATGATATATTACTGAATATATAAAAATAATACATTTCAAAAACTGAAAAATAAACCCGTCTTTATGTCAACATGAAACGGCAACCCTTTTCACTCATCATGTAATGAATAAAATAAATAAATAAATATTACAATAATTATAAAAATATATACAATTATATAAAAATAATATAATACAAATGTAAAAATTTATAAAATTAAAAAAAAAAAGTTATTTATTTTGCACTGGCAGAAATGGCAGTTATATTGGACTTATACTGACAAGCTAATGGCATAGTTGATATATCACACAGAAACAAAAGCTTGTTTTTGAAAAATTTTCAGTACTATTTATTTATAAGAACAATTTGAATGACAAAAAAAAAAAAACCCCGAACGTGCTTAATTAAATAGTTAAAGGGGTCATATGATATTGCTACATAAAGGAAAAATTGAAATCGCATCATATGACCCCTTTAAATACAGAAAATAGTATCCCAAAAAAAAAAAAATTTCATTCAACATTTCCCTACACTGATTTTGAGCAGCTAAATCATGAACAAGTCTTAACTTTGCTTTGACAAGGTTGGTTATCAGTTACGTAACAAATGTGTTAAAACAACATTTCAGTTCCAGCAGCAATATTACTCAAAATCAGCACTGCACTATACATTATGGCCTTACCAACTCCGGGTCCTTGCGACTAGCCAGGATGTTGCCGTTCTCTGCCGTGTTCAGCTTGCTGGGGCTCTTGAGTCTCGGGGATGTTTCCAGAGGTGGGGGTGGAGGGGGAGGTGGAGGTGCCACCTTCTCTTTACTGGGAGAAATAGTCTCTTCAAACCACAGCCCCAGAATGGGCTCACTATCATCATCTGAAAACACGCCAAGAGCCACAATCAGCACCGCATTCAATGAAGTTATTGTACTGTATGCAAACAAAGCTACATTAGCCATGGAAATCTACTTAAGACAGGTTACTGTTAAAGGCACAATAAATAGAAGCATAATGAGACACTACGAATCTGACCTAAGACAGAGATCTGCTGACCTGAGAAACAAGCTGCTCTTGTCCTCTCCTGTCTTCTCTCTGCTGAAATAATGAACACTGTCACTAGCTGTGACGGCTGCCAGATCGGCGCAGTAAGCAGAGCATGCTTAGCGTGCCACAGAGTTCAAGAACAGGAAGTAAACTGACCTGACTCTGAGCTCTGGGGAGGCCTGACTGCTGTCCTTCTACTACAGCGTGCAGTGCTCAGGAACTGCCTAAGAATGTCCCTGAGACTCCTCAGCCCTGACACTAGCTCAGTAAACCACAAGCAAACCCTGACCTCAGCTGCATAGAAAATAACTCATGCTAAAAACATTAAATAAAACTGCTGGGGGCCTTTTACAAAAACTGTCAAGATACACACAGGTCATATTTCAATCCAAAGTGGGGAAAAATATCAAAATTATATTTTGCAGAAAGAAAATGAATAATTCATTTTGACATTTATTGTTATCAAAATAAAGCATATTTAAATCCACCCTTCCCATCCTCTTCCCAACTGTCAGTAGCATTACAGTAATGCATATTTTTTAATGGTAAACTACATTTAGAAAAGTTTTTCTAAATGTAGTTAAAAAAAAAAGTTAAAAAATAAATAAATAACAATGAAACAATGTGCATTTAATAAAATAAAATAGTCAAGAAACTGTCATCAAAATAAGCATATTTAAATAAAACCTTCACTATGGTCAGCAGCCTACTGTAATGAAAAAAACAAATCATTAATTAATTTCTAATTCACTGTGAAGTTCGTGTATATAGTTTAGCTCTTCAGGGGTAAAAAAAAAAAAATAATAAAAAGGAAAAATTGTGCAAAACAAAAAAAAAAATTTATGAGAAAAGTCCAAAAATATGCTTGTTTAAAGAGGCACTTACCCTTTCCCTGGGCCAAGTTTAGGAGATCCTGCTCCTTCCTTGGTTCGGGTGGCGATGTCTCGGACCCGTAGTGCTGCCAGGGGATCTTTCTCCTTCCCTTTATCAGCCAGGGCCATGGGGCTCAGGTTTAGTATCAAATACAGGCTGTTCAACAGGCACCAGGCACCCAAGAGCTGAAAGTTCTGATAATGCTGTTGAAACACAAAGAACGATCTTAGACATGGGCTGTTCTAATTAATATTACATTCTCATTAAGGCAAATAGTTCACCTACCTCTCCTCCAGCTCTGCGAGAGTTACTGATGGCCTGTCCAATCATCTCATAGATTTCCAGCTGTTGAAAAAAGGGAAAGCATAAGATGAGGAGTGTACCAAAGACAACAAAACTATAAAATAAGTCATCTGCCACCTTGACTATTGACACCTACACATTTCTGCACGATGGTAGCAGCATCGTTTTCATAGTCTTCCTCCTTGGAGCCAGTGGAGGCCGCACGAAGCTGCAAGCCGCTGCCCACCTGCAGTATGGCCATGCAAGTTGCCACACTCACACCTGAGAGATATAAAAAAACACTCCTGAAGTTCTTTGTGTACATCTCAACTCGCCAAAAGGAGATTTTACATCAACCCACCTGCATAGAGGCAGCTTAGTGCTAACACAGTCACATCAAGTAGTCTCCCAGGGGTCAAAGGCTCCAGTACAGGCAAGGAAAGTGTGTCCAAGGCCATGGTCACATCAATCACCAGGGAGTGAAAACTGAAACCCGGGAAGGGAAAGTAAGCATACTCACTTTCAATAGATTTAATGAACAGCAGTGAGCTGAGGGTGTCTTTGGTTTACCCATTTCGGACAGCGGTGGCATCTGCCACAGTGGCCGGCATGATGAAGAAAGAGTTGGCAGATACCGCATCCTGGAAGCGGTTGATATACCGTAAGAAGTAGGGAAGGTTGAGGCACACGCGCAGCAACTTCTCGGAGCCCCCTGTAATGCAAAAGATAAAAAATAAGGGCTTACGTTGTGTAACAAAATTAATACAACTTCATTTCAACAGGTCTTATTTGTTTATCAAAGTTTCATTTCTAATTCCTGATCTACTAAAAAATATTAATAGCTTAGTGCATCTTCTGTCATATTTGATGACCATAATGTTCACAAATGAAACCCCACAACTTCGGACGAAACATTTAAGAACTACTGATATAGTGCAACTCACCTAATTCTTGTAAACTGGACACATTTTGAGAGATGAAGGCATTCTTCATTTTGGCCTGCGTTGCCTGATCTGTTGTTGTCTGGTCATCACATTCATTCTCACCCTGTAAAACACAAGACATCATGTTTTTGTCCAAAAACATCTTTGTTTGCTCATAACAAAACAGCAGTAAACCCAGGTGTGGTCACATCACAGTGAACTCAATCAAAAGACTCATCTCATTGACTGACCTGCATGTGAGCAGATGGAGAGGCCAGCACGGTAATGTCAGGGTTAAAGACCGAGGTCAGCTGATTGAAAAAGTTCATTTGGACTTCTTTTTGTCTGAGTTCAGGGTTAACAGGGGAGGGAAGCTCCTTCTGGTCCTCCACTGGAAAACAAGAGCACCAAAGACGATTGCGGAATATCAGGAGACTTTGAGTTAACCATTTTGGACGATCTCAAATCCTCTCTGACAAAGGAAAAGTGGCAGCCTGGCACTCATGTGAGAAAAAAGGTTAATACACTCAGATAAGACCATGCTTTGTCTGGATTGAACTGTGCCACCGGTTACTTGCCAAACTGTTCCATGAATGATGCTATTTTTGGAAAAATGTGATTTCATGCTTAATTTGTAGGGCTGTCCTTTGATGATACATTGTTTAATCAGTCAAATTAATTGCATATAATCATAAAAATTATTTTGCTGAGAAAACCCCCCAAATTAATTTAATATTCCGAAGGACAATTCCATATTATGGAATTTGCATACAGGTCAGGGGGCCTGACTAAATCCATTCATTTTTAAATCATGTTCCCTTTTTTAATAATTAATTGTACAAAAAATTAGCATGCTAAAAGAATGCCTTACTAATGTGCAATATTAAAGAATTCAATTACTAAACAGAACAGCTCCCTCCTGACTTGATCTAAACTGAGTAAAACTCACAAGAGAGCCTATAATTAGCCACAATAATCAAATGAGCAGCAAAACAGGCACACAAGAAAATGATGCTTCATTAATTCTTGTGTACAGCAGATAACAAGCTGTAAAGAGGACAAATATAGTTATGACACATCTGTGTACTGTCTGCGCTGCATCAGTGTTGCAAGACAACGTATTAAAGAGACCTTAGGCATCTGTCCATATAGAATCTGTCCCTGTAAAATTCCACAGAAACTAATTTACACACTACTGGAACTTCTAAAACATCATACAGGTCCCCCTGTCCCTCAAAATCAGCACAACTAGACCTGTAAGAATTGTTCGAGCCAATCTACACTGGACATTATGACCCTTACTGGAACTTCTAAAACATCATACAGGTCCCCCTGTCCCTCAAAATCAGCACAACTAGACCCGTAAGAATTGTTCGAGCCAATCTACACTGGACATTATGACCCTTAAATTACAAGGCAAAAGGGAAAGCAAACAAGAAAATCCTAAAAGTGGAACATCTTCACCGCCTCAAGCTGTTTATTTCAGAACAGCTGTGTTGAATTTACAAGCAAGACGCTCAACATTCAATTGCACCAAAACTGCTGCTGCATATCCCCATCTTGTAACACTGGCTCTATAATATCGAAATCATAGAGATTACTTCTATAAAAACAGGTCATTACGCCAAGCCAGACATTTCATGTTGTCTTTGCATGAGCTAGACCGCTCATTTAGCTGGTAACACAGGGCTGTGACAATTTGAAACTACTCTTACCATCAGAAAGGGTCTTGACAGTTTGGGGTAGTTTGGCCGACTTCATCATTGCAGTAAAGGTGATGATCTCTGTCCGATCCAATCGACTGCAGCCAGTACAAAGGCCTTTTATTAAGAGGATCAGGTGCTTCTGTGGAGTGGAAAGAGAAGCGAAATTAGTCTATAAGAATATGTTATGCTTAATCAAACAGACAAGATGCATTACAACATGTTCTGATCAAAAAGTGCATATCTGACCTGAGAGACCGCACATGCTTCATCAGGATTCTCCAGACGGAGCAATGAGAATTCAATCAATACTTTACATGCGGCAGCTACTGACAGCAACTGATTTCTGGGGACTAAAATGGGACAGAAAATTGTTATGAGATAAATGGGAACATTTTTAATAGCCAGTTAAACCCGTGTATGCCTATATTCAGCTAGAAATTAAGGAAATGACCGTTTTAGAATAAAACACTGAAATGTGACATACTTTGTCCACAAACTGTGGTGATGTAATGTGCAGATAGTGCCACAAAAGAGGAGTAGAATGGCTCATACTGTTTGTCATGGTGAAGAATCTCAGATTCACTATAGAAAAAAGAAGAGTGAAACAGTTTAAATCAATGTAATTTGCAGTTTGCATCTCATTTAACTTCTGTAATGTGATGCTTCCAAGTGAAACCACGTATTTAATGAGATCAGACTTGATTATCCATCAGGAATTTAATTGTGAAAGTCAGTGTGCATTGGAATGCAAGTGTGCTAAACCAATACCTAAACAGCTATTTGGCTATTGGTTAATAATATTATCCAGTAGTTTGCATGACCTGACCATTCTGACGTCAATGGAAAAGCTAAATCATTACAGATAAAGCAAGTTATTACATTCTAATAAAAGATTAAGACAATTTTCTGTTGGAATAACCAACTGAATCATTGACAATAAGAATGGAAGCATAAATTAATAAAGCAATTATGGTTAACTTCATGTCGACATTTCCAACAGAGGCTGAAATAACTCCCAAAATGCTGTTCCATCCAGCAATCTACATGATTCTTGTAGAGATATGAAACAGAACAGAACATATGAAACTCTCCTATAGTGAGCATGTAACAACTGGTTAGCATTAAAAGGGGGAAAACTACTTCCAAAGCTCAAAAGGGAATTTCTTAGTAAGATAAACTCACAGGAGTAGGAACTAGGAATGCATGACCTTATCTGACAGACTGAACACTTCTGGGGAACTTTGACATTGCTTTCAGATTTGAGTGCAACAACAACATACAAATATCACAAAAGCGGTTTAAAGTGTTAATTGATTTCTAAAATCTCTTGTAATAATTGTCCAGTGTTATTTTAGTACTGTTTATATACTACTATAGTATTTATTAATATTTTGAATGAGTTTCAAGAAAAAAAACCAATTAAAACTCTTGAAAAATACACCTTTCAGCTTCCTTTTATCCATTCAGAGAATACCACTGGCAATAAACTTTTTGAACAAACACTTCAGCAAACATTAAACACACTGATCATATTAAATTAATCTGAGCCCAGTCAGACAAACACAGACATTTGGAAAATTGACAATAAAAACAGTTTATATTCAATTACTATTAAACTGCTAACAAACTGGTTTAGTCTAGTATAGGTTAGCAGCTCAATTTATTATCAATCGCGTTACTTTCACTTTTGACTGATTAAGCTGCACTTAACTCATGCACATCGACAAGACGACAAGTAAAGTTTTTATATCATAGATGCAATTCAGTGTGTTTACTGATTATTTTAAAGCTCAGACAGTTGTTTGGCTCGTAACTAAACAGTTGATCAACACCGAAGTAAACGACAGACACCGTAATGTGTTTGTTTGGGAAGACCAAGCACTGTTTCCGTAAAAACGAAACTTTGATGACACTACACATATTTACACACAGACAAACAAGCTTTTGAAATGGGCAACTAACCCTACAACAAACTAAAACAGAGAATTTCGACGTTTGTTCACCAAAAGAGGCTAACTCGCAATTAGCGATCCATCAGCAACACTAGCACCAGCTGCTAGGTCACGGCTTGCTAGTTAGCAGGCACACCCCCTATATGTATTAAATAAATTGAGTGAGACTGACAGAGGAAGATTTATCTGGATGACAATTTAAAAAAAAGACAAGTATGAGTATTATGAATAGCTCTTGACAGTGACTAGCAGGCTAGCTAGTGTTGGCTGGGTTAATCGAGGGAGGCTAACAAGCTCATTCGGCGTCAAATTAATTCACTTCCGACACAAATATAAAATCACTTTATTTAGGGGCGGATGTCGTGGGATCCTGTACGTCCATTATAAGTAAGCGGCATTGTTAAAATATCAACCAGGCAGGTTATATGAACGTAAAAGAGCGGATCTCCGGCCTGATGATTAAGCAGAATCTGATGTACCTGCTACTGTAAATGCACAGTAACACTAGGGCTGTGTCTCAACACACAGCGAACTGCATTCGTTGACGGCCCATTTAGTCATCATGTGCGAGTCTGGACGATTCAAAATCACTTTTGACCACCGAAAGTATTCTTAAACAGCATTTTTGGACCTCATAAGCGCATTTGGAACCGTCCAAACCCTCTCACAATACTGTCAAGGTAGTCAGCTGACTAGGTTTTGAGACACAGCCTCGGTGCTGCCATAGCATCACAGCTAATGCAGAGTCACTCAGCAGTTTATTTCAGCCCTGCACGAGCCAAGTCAACAAACAAGCACTCGTCTGACCTGTTTATGATGGATCCTATAAGCTGAGGTAGCTCTTTCGTTTCGAAAGCCGTGTAGGACGCTGATAAAAGTGGCCGTACGGCTGCGGTCCACTCAGGTTCTCCATCTCCTCCACTCGACGCCATCTTGAGATCCTCTATTAGAATCTAAGAGCGGAAATGAGGTTAATCATCAGACGCCAAATAACAGGAACTGTCGTCAGAGAAAAACAAAGTCTTGTGTGGGGTTATGTCATGTGAGCACGCAGAAACCTTCTGAGATAATAATAGGACTGTGGTTTACGGTTTTACTCATAAGCTTAAAACCTTATCTTTTATTTATTTACGACTGTGGCCAAACAGCTAAGGAAACGTGAGCTTAAAGAGACAGTTCACCCAAAAAAATGAGAATTCTGTCGTCATGTGTAAATCACCCTGTCTTTCCAAAATTTTCCTCTGAAACCCAAAAACAGATGTTGGGCGGAATGACCCTCTATTCACTTTAATTTTATAGGTTTTATGGGGAAAACGGATACAGTGTAAGTGAATGGTGACTCTTGTAAACAACATGACAGAATGTTCCTTTTTTTTTGGGTGACTATCCCTTTAAAATAGTCCAAAATCAGACCAATTGTACGTCATAATTTGTGTCCATACAGAGTGAGTCAATAGTAACCAAAACTTTTTGGATCCCAACACTTTTCAAAATATAATTTTCTGTGTTCCGCTGAAATTTTTTTTTGAGGTTTTTAACGACATAAGGGTGAGTGAAGGATGGCAGAATGTTTATTGTTCCGTGACCATCTCTTTAAAATAATCAAAAATCAGACAAATTGTTGACTACATGTCATAATTCTTTGTCCATTCAATTGAGGTCAATGGTAACCAAACCTATCTGGTTCCCAACTTTCTTCAAAATATCTGTTCTGCAGAAAAGTCATACAGGTTTTTAACAAAATGATGGTGAGTAAACAATTATAGAACTTACATTTTTGGATGAATTATCCCTTTAATGAAGCAACCAGAAAATATTTCAACTGGTATTGCCCAGATTATCCACAACTGCAGCCGTTCTACCTTAAATTTTCAAAACAATTCAAGAGTCAACAATTAGGAAGGGGATATTCTTTATTACAGATTAGGGGAAAAAGAACAAATAATTTATGCATGTTTAAAAAAACATTAGGTTTATTACCAACTTAATTGAATGTCTACTCTTTTGTTACAAATACTATTATTAAACTCATTTTTTTCTGACATCATTCATTTGCAGCAGCGGGGATGCTTTCAAAATTATGTATATAAACAGGCCTATTATTCATGACAATCAAAAGAGTAGAAACATTTTACACAATAGTAAAATCACAAGGATTTGTAATGTGTACAAGTCAAAATCAAAGTATGATATGGCATATTAGAATCTTACTCAAATATATCAAGTAAGAACATGGCTCCAAACCATCCAGTGCATTTGACATACCATAACATAACTACAAATGACTATCCAAACTCCTATGCAGAACCTTCTATGATTAATGTACAGGAGAAAACAATCCAACTGTCTTGCCTCTTGAAAACTCAGTTCTCATGTGCACTAGTGTTTGCCCATTCAAATCCTGTACATGAGGCAATATATTAATTAACAGCTCATCAGATCATATCAAATTTAAAACCCAATCACATTATTCAATCTTTTCATTAACGTAAATAAAAATGGCAGTCGTTTTGCAATACTCCTTCCTCAATAATAATTTTGAAAAGTAACACTTCTTCTAAGACTCAGACTTAATGAATAAAATCTATAATGGAAAAAATAAATAAATAAACAGGACGGGTGTTATGTTATACCTGGCGAGTCTACCTTTAAATCACATGGGTTATGTTACCCCGAAAGGCACAATAAATAAATTAGACCGTGAATTGTCCAATGCTGGGGGGGGGGCATTCAAATGACAGAGAGAGTTTTTCTCTCTCTGAAAAGGGAAAAACTATCATGGCCGTCTATGCACTTACACTCAAAACACCACAAGATCCCTAAGACAGCTGGTTGCAAAAATACACCAAACTTATCAAATGATCTTGCAGTTTTGACATGGTCACCAGCTAGTCTCCTGCCATCAATGTGTCGACCACATTGCAGTGAGGGCGAGAGTGAAGTCAACAGGCCATTCGGATGAGTCTTATCGCCATGCCCTGTTGAGCAGTTTCACTTCCGCTAGACGTTTGCTGATCATGGTGGCAAAGAAGAGGCCAAAGAGTACGCTGCTGATTAATATATAGTCATAGTCGTCCTTAAGGACATCAAATTGCTTGGAGGGGAACACTCTAGTCTGGTAGATGTCAAGACCATACGCAACCACCTGCAGGGTGAAAAAATTACAATCAATGGAATTGATTAATGTAATAAGAATGACATGGATATTAATAGCTCAAATAAAAACAATCCTACCAACAAGAAGTTATTTAATATTGTGAAATACAGAGTGAAATAAAAAAAAATGGACTAAACCATCACTCTTACCAAACAGGTAGACTCCAGGCCAGAGGGGGCAGTGTAGATGCCCCTTACACTTGACACAGTTTGGTTGTAGTTTATAAACCACTCTTCACGAATGGGCATTTCTGGAGCATAAGGTATGAGGTTTTCCTCCCTAAATGGTGAGACAATCATTGTTCAACTTGGTTACTCAGCAAGCAAATTGTAAATCACAAAGACTGAATTGTGTCTCAACGTAGTAAATTTTCGTTGAGAACCTACCGACTCTGTTCTGAGACCAACTCTGGTCTCCGTGGGTCCAGAAACATCTTTGGTAAGGATAAAATGTTGCCTGATGGCAGCCCGACTATAAAGTAAAAGTAACAACCAGTATTTAATATGAGAATGCTGATATTTGTCTTAAGACTTTGATCTTTAAAGGGGTGGTTCACTGGGTTTTTTCTAGGCTTGATTGTGTTTATGGGGTGCAGTCTAACATGTGTTAATGCTTCGTTTTTAAAAAAACACATTATTTTTCACATAATTTACCTTTATTCCACACCTCTCTGTCCCTTCTCTGAGAAACAGGCTGATCTTTTCCTGTTTTTATGAAGCCCCGCCCTCAGAAATAGGCGATGGGCTCTGATTGGTTAGCTAGCCCAGTGTGTTGTGATTGGCTAAACCGCCTAGTGCTAAACGTCCCGCCCCTCTCCTCAGCGGCATGTGCTCCGTTTGTATTGTAAACAATGGCATCGTTAAAGGGGTCATATGATGCGATTTCAAGTTTTCCTTTCTCTTTGGAGTGTTACAAGCTGATTGTGCATAGATAAGATTCCTGAAGTTGCAAAGACTAAAGTCTCAAAACCAAAGAGATATTCTTTATCAAAGTTAAGACTCTGCCACGCCCCCCTAAAACGGCTCATTCTAACACGCCCCCACATATCTACCCCACTATGTGGAAATATTTGCATAATCCCGCAAAATGTGCACGCAAAGAAAGAAGGCATGGTGTCAGTAACCGCAGTTAGTGTTGAAGCAGCCATGTCAGGGAGACGCTGTGTGTTTCAGTGCGAAAGCAAAAGCACTTTATTTGGATCACTTACAACAGAACAGCAATGCATTTTATGGACGACCGTTTCGTGAACCTAGGAGAGGAGGTAATTCTGACTTTGCTATGACAATCTGGCGCTTCTGAATCAGCTACTGTAAGTATGTTTTGTTATTAGTTTAAGTATTTGCTATTGACTGTTCAAATGCGGAGTTTTGCGCATCGTGTGTGCGTGCGCGCGTGTGTGTGAGAGAGAGAGAGAGCGAGAGATAAAGCAGCGCAGCATGGCGTCGCCCCCTTTGCTGCCTTTTCCCAAGGGCGGGGTTTATCTGAGTTTGTGATGTCACGAACCCGGGAAGTAACTTCTTGTAGTCCCTACCAGCCGTTTTTGTAGGCATTAAACTGCCAGACATTTAAAAGAGGATATCTCCGTTTGCATTGAACTTTCAGCTTCGTAACTTTGCAGATATTGTTTATGCTCAAACAGCAACATTACACACTAACTAACAACTAACATTAAAAAAGTGAAATCGCAATCAACCACCCCTTTAAGATATCTATCTATCTATCTATATATATATAGTCAGTATCAGAACATTCCTAACTGCTTGATATGTACAATACTCACCAAGAAGGTGTCGGCTTGTGATGCCTTTTTCCGTAAGTGTGGCTTCCAAAGTGTTTATGGGAGCAGGAAAAATGTACGACTGCTGCAGAACCTGAGGTGCATGTGGTCTGTCCAGGGAGCTGAACACTGTGCTGTTATAGAGCTCTGCTCCCTCAAAGAGCTCCAACACAGAAAACTCATTTCTACGGAACTTGGAGTTCCAGTACACATACTATAGAGAAGAAACACAAAAAACACAAAAAGCAGTGTTCAATTCTGTACCAGAAACATTCAGATCTATCACAGTAATCATTTCGGATAGATAAACCTGTGTACTTACCACCACCCAGTTTTCAGAGTGTACAAAGTGAACAGGTCCTCTGGCCTTCCGCTGCACCGCTTCATGCACAATACGGCCAGTGACACCATCAATCAGGAAGATTCCAACAAAGCTGCGCTCCTGATGGGTGTCTGTGCTTTCCGTTATCACAGCCAAGAGATTAGGGTTCAGATACTGCAGAAGAACACACAACAGACAGGATATGTGATTAGAAAAGGGTGTAATTACATTTGCCTAATAAGAGCAGTTATCGAATCAGCAGTACCTTGTAGAGCACACTACGATCCCCCATGACTCTGCCCTGGGAATGCACATGTTCATTTGCACGCTTTCCTTTGACAGCTACTATCTTCTGCACCTCAGTGGGAATGACCACCTCCCAGATTAGCTCTGTAGACAAATCCTAAAGGAACAAAATCACTTATGAACACCAGCATCAAGTGCTTTACATTTGCTTTGCACGAATGGACACTAACCTTGCGCAGACGGAAACCCGACAGTTTTCCCTGACTGGAGTCCACTAGGTAGAAGAATATGGAGGATGCTGTGTCCTGAAGCTGCTGTAGAACATTCTTTGTAGATGGAAATGCTGTGACCTGAACGAGAAAATAAATAGGTTCACATTCTCCAGGAAAAACAGAAGGTTTGTCAAAAGAACGGAGACCCACCTTGTACTGGTCATCAATAAGCAGAAGGACTTTAGCATAGTCCTGG